CTCCTTGTTCACCATCTCACTGCCCACAGTTGCTCGTCTTCATTCTCAGTGACTTCGGTTTCCACAGAAACTGTGAATTGCTGTATTTTCTACCTAGCACCATCTTCCCCTGGCTATCAGCCTGGTTCACTCCCTTACTTCCTTCAGGTCTGTGCTTAGATGTCACCTTACTAGTGAGGTCTTCCCCGATCATCCTTTTTAAAATTGCAATTTACCCTCCCAATCCTCTTTCCTGCCTAATTTTTCCCCATGGCACTTGTCAGGTATGTTTTCTATTTTGTTATTTCTTTCTTGCCTATTTCCCACACTACGGAGTGTCCCAAAAGTCTCCATACAAAGAAAAAATTTTGTAGGCCAGGCATGGTGGCTCACACCCATAATCCTACCACTCTGGGAGGCCAAGGCGGGGGAGGATCGCTCAAGGTCAGGAGTTTGAAACCAGTTTGAGAAAAAGCAAGACCCCGTCTCTACTAAAAATAGAAAGAAATTAATTGGCTAACTAAAATATATATAGAAAAAATTAGCCAGGCATGGTGGCACATGCCTGTAGTCCCAGCTACTCAGGAGGCTGAGGCAGAAGGATCGCCTGAGCCCAGGAGTTTGAGGTTGCTGTGAGCTAGGCTGACACCATGGCACTCTAACCTAAGCAACAGAGTGAAACTCTGTCTGAAAAAAAAAGAAAAAAGAAAAGAAAAAATTTTGTAATGAATATTTTGTAAATAAAGGTACACTTGGTTACAATTTCCCATTTTCCCTATGTATGGTGACTTTTGGGACACCCTATAAAATATAAGTTTCACAAGTTAGGGACTTATGTCTGTTTTTTTCCAACTACTCCCCAGCTCTTAAAACAGGGTTTATTACATAGAATGTGCTCAACTAAAGTGTGTTGAACCAACCGACTGATGAAAGAATGAATGGATCTGTCTGACACCCTGGCCTCTCTCACGCTTTGACATGCTCAGCACCCACGGACACTGCCTTCAGCCTACATCAGCCACCTACTCTCACGGGCATGCCCTGGGCCTTGTCACTGCCCCAATGGTACATCTTTTTTTTTTTTGAGAGTCTCACTTTGTTGCCTCGGCTAGAGTGAGTGCCATGGCATCAGCCTAGCCCACAGCAACCTCAAACTCCTGGACTCAAGCAATCCTCCTGCCTCAGCCTCCCGAGTAGCTGGGACTACAGGCATGCACCACCATGCCCGGCTAATTTTTTCTATATATATTTTTAGTTGGTCAATTAATTTCTTACTATTTTTAGTAGAGACGGGGTCTCGCTCAGGCTGGTTTCAAACTCCTGACCTCGAGCAATCCACCTGCCTCGGCCTCCCAGAGTGCTAGGATTACAGGCGTGAGCTACTATGCCCGGCCCAATGGTACATCTTAATTTCAATCTGACTACCATCTCCAACCTGTCCAGTTCACCTGCTCTGCTGTTTCTACCAAGACAATTATTCAGCTTCATCAGAAACATATTGGGGGGGGAAGGACATTTATTGAAACCTTAAAATCTGTACCCCCATAATATGCCGAAACAAAAAAATAAATAAATAAATACAAAAGAAACATATTTTTAGAATCCATTTCCTTACCCACTGAGATTCTAGTCCGCCATGACATGCACACCCCTGTAGACACTCTCAAAACACCCTGCCCTCAAAATACCCACCCCTCAAAACACTCTCAAAATACCTTTCTCTCCTGCCAAACCACAACCAGACCATCCTCCTATTCCACACTTGTACCCAAATGACACCAATGACTACTAGTGTTTACTGAATACTTATTATATGCTAGGCCCTGTTTTAAACATTTTTACATTAATTCATTATCATTTTAATTCTCACAACTTTGTGAGGTGGGTGCTATTATTACCATCCTCATTTTACAAACATTTAACTTGCCAGGAAAGATGCATACCACACTAAATGGTCTCATTTTAAATGGATAACAACAAACCTCTAGTAGGCACAGAGCAAAGAACAGCAATACTGCCACATTCTTTTTTTTGAGACAGTGTCTCGCTTTGTTGCCCGGGCTAGACTAAGTGCCATGGCGTCAGCCTAGCTCACAGCAACCTCAAACTCCTGGGCTCAAGCTATCCTCCTGCCTCAGCCTCCCGAGTAACTGAGACTACAGGCATGTGCCACCATGTCTGGCTAATTTTTTCGATATATTTTTAGTTGGCCAATTAATTTCTTTCTATTTATAGTAGAGACGGGGTCTTGCTCTTGCTCAGAGCTGGTTTCGAACTCCTGACCTTGAGCAATCTGCCCGCCTCAGCCTCCCAGAGTGCTAGGATTACAGGCGTGAGCCACCGCGCCCGGCCTGCCACATTCCTTGGTAGTTTGATTTTTCTACTCTCTAGGACAGATCATTTCATACCTTCTGCTCTCTGCACAGACCTTCCTCCTTCCGCTGAAAACCTCACTTTATGCTTCCTTGAGATTATAGAAACCAAGAGACATAAACACCCAAAGCTTCCAATCCCCAAACAGCAGCTGCAGAATGCTCCTCCTCCTCTCTGCCTGCTACAAGGAAGGAGAGTCTGTGCCTAGCAAGGCCAAGTCCTCCAATGTGCTCTAGATCCTGTGTTCACCCAGCCACTCAGGGTCATTGTCACCCCTCACCCCAGCATCAATCCCTCCCTCTCTACAGGTCTATTCCTGGCATCACACAAGCGCCCTATAAGTCCTTCTTTGGCCCTGCATTCCTTCTGGTCACCAACCCATTTTTTGGCTCACTTCCACAGCAATTCTCCAAAGAATTGTCTATACTTTTTCTTCCACCCACTCTAATCAGCTTCTGCCACCATCACTCCTCTAAAAGTGCTCTTGTCAAGGAGGTCACTAATGACCCTCTAAATTCGCCTCGCTCCATCTCTCAGCAGCACTGGTCATGACTCTTTGCCTCCACCTCCACATACTGGAGCACACAGGGCTCTGCGGGTCTTCTCTTCCACCAACACTCTCTCGAGATGGAATCCATTCTCTAGAGGTAAGATGCAGACCCATAAAAGTGGCCCACGCCTGTAATCCCAGCACCTTAGGAGGCCAAGGTGGAAGGATCACTTGAGCCCAGGAGTTCGAAGCTACAATGAGCTATGATCTCATCACTGTACTCCAGCCTGGGTGACAGAGACTGTCTCAAAAAAAAAAAGACATATGATACCATCTACCACTTCTCAAAGTATATACCTGGCCCCAATCATTCCCCTTAGCTTTACATTTCACATTTAATGTACCTAAAACCCCTGACCTCTGTACCAATACCTGTTCATATCCCTGTTTCCTCCTCTGAATAAATTGTGTTTTTTTTTTTGAGACAGAGTCTCATTTTGTTGCCCAGGCTAGAGTGAGAGCCATGGCGTCAGCCTAGCTCACAGCAACCTCAAACTCTTGGGCTCAAGTAATCCTACTGCCTCAGCCTCCTGAGTAGCTGGGACTACAGGCATGTGACACCATGCCCGACTAATTTTTTGTATATATATTTTTAGTTAATTAACTTCTTTCTATTTTTTAGTAGAGACGGGGTCTCGCTCAGGCTGGTTTCGAACTCCTGACCTCCAGTTATCCGCACGCCTTGGCCTCCCAGAGTGCTAGGATTACAGGCATGAGCCACTGAGTCTGGCCCCTCCTCTGAATAAATTGTTCCACCATCCCCTCAAATGAAAAAACCTGCACATCACCATCAGTTGCTTCCCTCCCTGCACCTCCACATCCAGTGGATCTCTATGTCCTACAAAATATACTTCAAATCCATCCACCATCTCTCCTGACACCACCCTCGCCCAAGTCACCAACATTTCTCACCTAGCCCATGATAAACACATCCACTAAGTCTCCCTGATTTCACTCTTGCCCACCCAAACTCCATTCACTCTTCTGTTTTAAAGCTTTCCCACAGTTTCCCAAATAAACTCCAAATGCCCCACCCATAAGACTCAACACAATGTTGCTGCTCCTCCCTGTCCTCACTCCACCTTCCCCCTGGCTGGCCCCAGTCAGGCCACCTGGCATTCTTTCTCTTCTCAACTCTCTCTCTCTCTCCCAGCTCTGGGTCTTTCTCTGTTTTTCTTTTGAGACACCTTGGGTAGAGTGTGTTGGCGTCATCATAGCTCACTGCAACCTCAAACTCCTGGGCTCAAGTGATCCTCCTACATCAGCCTCCCTAGTAGTTGGGACTACAGGTGCTCACCACCATACCCAGCTCATTTTTTCTACTTTTAGTAGAGATAGGCGCTCACTTTTGCTCAGGCTCAAGCGATCGAACTCCTGACCTCAAGCGATCCTCCCACCTCAGCCTCCCAGAGTGCTAGGATTACAGGTGTGAGCCACCAGCTCTGGGTCTTTGTATTATCATTGCCTCTTTCTGGAACGCTCTTTCCAGGGCTCTTCACATGACTGATCCCTTATCATCCTTCAGGTCTTGGCTCAAATATCTGCTTTTCAGAGAGCCCCTCCCTGACCATTTTATCCAAAGTGGTATCCTCTAGTTAGTCTCTCCCCATTCTATTTATTTCCTTCGAGCATTTATCATAATCTATAATTATCTTGATATTTACCGGTTTACATGTTTGTTGTCTGTCTCCCACACAAGAGAAGCAAACCAGTTCTTAATCTGTCCTGTTCACTACTTTATTCTAGTAGAGTGACTGACATATATTAGTAATCACTGGATAAGTATCTGGTCACCAATCCATTTCTTGCCTCACTTTCACAACAACATTTCTCCAAAGAATTGTAAATAGATTAAATACTGCCACAAAAAAATCCACCGTTTTCTTTACAAAAGGAATATATTCCTGACTACAGAAGGGGCAAACATCTCTTTAAATGACTTCAGAATTCAGAGCAGAAAATACTACACATGGAAATTCATGGTGATAAAATGTCCTGCTTGTAAACAGAAAACACGTGGACTATATTTTCTCCAACTACATGTAGGACTTAACCATGCAGTGTCTGACAAAGGAGCAGAGTGTGCCCCTACTCTTACCATTTCTGCATATTCTACCTGCTCCTCTTCACTGTATAGCTCTTGGGGCAGGTTATAGATCCGCAGGATGTTATCAGCACTATTAGTCAAGATGCAGGAACCATCGGGGGCCCTAGAAATTGGAAAGAGTTAGAAAGCTGGACAGCTCTGTGTTTTCCAAGTGTAGGGCTAGGGCTGAGCCTAACTCCGGGATAGGTAAGCCCCAAGTCCTTGACGGAAGTGGAAGACACAAAGTCCTAGATGAAACTGAAGCTTAATCTAAAAGAGATTCTTACTCCTCCCACCTCTAGCTGATCCTTCTTCTAGATAGCTGGGGTATTTTAAGTGAAAATCCTGGGGGTAGTCACCTCCCTGCACCATTATCCTTACTTACCACTTACAGCCTTTCAAGAAGTTCTCAGGTTGGGTGCTGAACTCTGACCAGGAACCACTGAGAAATCGAGGTAGTTGGGAAAAGCTGTAGTTCCAAGTGCTGGAAGGAAAGATGGGGGACAACAAACTTGGGTCGCCAAGGCAGAAGGGAAATGGGCCTGGAGAAGCCAGGCTGAGGACTGGCAGATAATGTCTATCTCACACTTCCAACCTCCTCAGATTCCAGGGTCAGCTGCCATCACCACTTACGTGTCTCCCTCATCCTCTGGAGCGACTTCCTCAGACACACCTTCCATGGCTTCTCCAGACCCCAACTCTGGCCCGTTCGTCTCTCCTGCAGGAAGGCTTGCATTTTCAGAAAGTTCTTGCTCCTCGATTCGAGGACTCAACTCACTAGGAGCACCACACTCTGTTTCCAGGGGTGTGGAGAGAGTAGCTGGGTCCCCTTCCCCCAGCTCCTGGGACACAGCTGAGCCAGCCACAGGAACCGGGGACATCCGGGGTGGCTCATCCCCATCGGGTGGCGGGGGCATCAGTTCGGGGTCGGCATTTTTATCCATCAGGGAAACATGAGGAGAGAGACGGGCTGGAGCCGAGGCCTGGTCTGAAGGAAGGCAGTCCGGAGCTAAGAGTTGCGCCTCCAACGTCTCCATACTGCAGAGGGAGCGCGGCAGACATGGGCTCCGGCCGGGTAACCCTCTTTCCGCTGGCTGCCCGCTGCCTGGCCCGCGGGGTGGCTGCGGCGGCTCCGAAGTTCTCAAGGATCCGAAGCCGAACTACAGAAACCCACCAGAGCCTTCCTTCCTCTTCCGGGAGGGGGCAAAACACCCCCGGGAGACAAGGCGAACGCGGGGGAAACAAATTTTGAAATCACAGCGTCCCTTAGTACCGTGGGTCGCTAAGTGCCCCTTGCTCTCGCGGGATTTGAGCCCACCTTCCAATTGGGCCTCGATATCCCGGATCAGATTTCGCGGGCCACCCACGGAAGGGGCCGAATCGGGACGTAACAGGTTAGGTTTGCGTACCCATCAAGCCCTAGGGCTCCTCCTGGCCGCTGGGAGCTGTAGTCTGAACGCTTCTGCCTCGCTGAGAAGTGCCGGCGCGCCCCCTACCGGCGCCTCCGGTAATTTTTAAAGCGCCTCCCCCCACCGCCTGCAGAGGGCGCCAGCACTGTGTTTGCTTTTACCGGGTTTGCACCTCTTTTGCATCTCATTCGCCAGATTGCTCAGAACTGTGTCTCTCTTCATTCATTCAATAAACATTTATTATCGAGCTCTTACTTGCAACCCAGCTCTGTACTAGGCACTGGGGAATACAACAATGAATAAGATAGTAGACAAGTTCTCTACCCTCATAAAGCTTATGTTGCTTTGTATTGAAGGTAATGAACAAATCTTTTCAGATAGTGACAAGGACTGTGAAGGAAATTAAACAAGATGGTGTGATATAAAGTACTCGAGGAAACGTCAGTAAAGCCTTCCTAAAAGGTGATATTTTAGCCGATTAGAAAAAACTATCCAGCTATCTGAGAGAGTAAATGCAAAGCTTTCTTCCTTCGACCCTTCATATTTGACACAGTGGCAGGAGTCCTCCAAAATGGTTTCCACCAATTGTGCTCTCACAACTCTGGCTTGTAGAATTTTCCCACCCCAAACGTTTAATAGCTACAGCACCAATACGGCGAGAATCCTGACTCCCGTACCCTTCTCTCCAACTCTCCATTTCCTTTGCCACCTCCGGCAGGCGAATTACTTGCCCTTACTTGTCATGGCGACTGTCCAGCTTTGTGCCAGGAGCCCCGCAGGGGTTGCTGGGATTGGGATTTTCCCCTCCCATGTGCTCGGACGGCGCTAAAAGTTTTGAGCTTCTCAAAAGTCCAGAGCCATCATCCTGGGCGCTGGTAGCTGCAGGGCTCCGGTGGCTCCTGGCGTCCGAGCTCGGAGCGTGCTTCCCAGGACGGTGACACGCTCCCCCGAGGATTGGGTAAGCTCGAGACTTGGCCTGATGAGTCCTTTCTGAGTCACGGGCTCTCGGCTCCGTGTATTTTCAGCTCGGGAGAATCGCGGGGGGGTGGGGCAGTGGGGGACTAAGCGAGTTTGGGGGTTAGGATGGAAGCTTGGCTGGCGGGATCAACATAGGAATGCAATGTTGAGAGGCCTGGGTGTACATTATGGGGATGCTGGCACCAGCTGAACTCAAAGCTGAATGCCTATGCAGGGGAGTGGGACTTTGGGGAACATTGAGCCGGCCTAAGGGGTACTTTCCCCAACACCCACCTTAGTGCTGGGCGTGGGGAATACCTGAAACGCATGAAGCATTGGGGTCTGAGACTTTCGGATCTCGAAACTTTGGGAACTCATGGCTTGAGACTTTATAGCCCATGGCATCCTAGTGAAACCTTGGGCTGCATCCCAAAATGATTATTTGGGGTGATCTGGAAAACCCAAGCTAAGGTCCCACAACTTCCGGACCTTTGTCCTTCCTGAAGCGATCTTTCCAGCCAGCCCCGGCTCCGCTAGATGGAGAAAATCCAATTAAAGACTGTCAGCCGTGGAAGTGAGACGTGCTAAACGAGGGGTTTGCCCGCCAGGCCAAGAAAGACAGTCCTAATTTGAGAGGCCCGGCAGCCCTGTTATTGTTTGCCTCCACATTTACATTTCTGCTTCTCACAGTAGCATTTCCGGTTTCTTTTTGTGGGACTAGCCCACTGTTCACCCGATGGGAGGGGAGTAGAACGAGAAAAATCTCCTAGGCTGCCTCCTATAACTTGCAGAGGGAGGCTACTATTCTCCTCCCCCACTTTTTTTTTAAGTCTGTATTACTTGGTTATTGCCTCGGCAAACGAAGGGGTATTTGTTTTGATGCAAACCTCAATCCCTCCCCCTCTTTGAATGGTGTGCTCCACCCCCTCCCCGGGGCGCCCGCAAGCTGGACGGACGCTACCATTGCGTGGGACGGGGTGGAAAAACTGTGCAGAAGGCAAGCTCTGGGTGTTTTCAAGAATGGGTACGTTTGAGAATCACATTTCGAGAGAGTGCAGTGACGGGCCGCTCGATAAATTGTCAGAAAGACATTCGGCCTATGACCGAGCTTTGCGCCACTCCAATTCCGGACGCAGTCCGAACGTCGCGAAAGCGGAAGGGGCGGGTCTTGGGGAGGGTGCGCCCGCGGTCCTAAGCGCCCCCCGCGTTCCGGCCGGGTCCCGGTGGGAGGCAGCCCGACGCACGCCGCACGCCGAGCCCGGCTGGTGTTCTGTGCTCCCGCTTCTTCAGCTCTCGGGGCGCAGTTACTGTATTGAGCAGGTTACCACGCACCTGCCCCGTACCAGGCACTGGATGCCGTACTTACGTTCTTGCCTTTTTCCTAAATTCAGGTCGAATTGACAGTGCGATTGTACGGATATTGAGTGCACAGGTAGATAAGTTTGGGCAGCTAACCACCGTGTACTGCCTAGCTCAATACAGAACGATGTCATCATTCCTGAAACGTTTCCTCGCGCCTCATCCGAGTCAGTCCCTGATCTCCACCTTTGTTTTTATTTCCGTAACCATTTTGCCTGTTGGAGAACTTCATATAAAGAGGAATCACACAGTTTGCGCTTATTTTTGTCAGGTTGCTTTCCTTAAGCGTAATCTGTGACGTTCATCCATGTTGTTGCTTATATTAGTATTTTGCTTTTTTTGTTTTAGTATAATCCGTCGATCGCGTATCCATTCTCCTTTTGATGGTCTTTCGAGTTGTTTCCCGTTTGCGCTTATTATGAAATAAAGCTACTATAAACATTGTTGTATAATTCTTTTTGTGATCATGTTTTTATATTTCTTGGATAAATACTTAGGAGTGGAATTGCTAGGTCAGAAGTAAAGAGTGGGGTAAGTGCCATGTTCAAGCCTGTGATCCCAGCACTTTGGGAGGCTCAGGCAGGAGGATGCTTGAGCCAGAGTTCAAGGCTGCAGTGAGCTACGGTCGTGCCACTGCACTCCAGACTGGGTGACAGAGTGAGACCCAATCTCTAAAAGCGAACAAAGAAGGAACTAATAGATATATTTTTAACTTTATAAGAAATTCTGAGTTTTCCAAAGTGATTCCTACCATTTTACACTCTGACTAGCAAGATATAGGAGTTATGATTGTTCTATGTCCTTTTTCAACATTTGGTGTCATCACACTTTCTAATGTGGTATATCATTGTGGCTTTAATTTACAGTTCTCTGTTGGCTAATGATGTCCAGCAATTTTTCATGTGCCTATTGGCCATTCATACTTTATATGCGAAGACTTTTGCCTATTATTTTGGGTTTTTGTTTGTTTTTATGTTCAATTGTGAGCATACTTTATATTTACTATATTCTGGATGCAAGTCCTTTGTCAGATACATGTGATGTGAATATTTTCTTCCAATCTTTTGCTTGCCTTTTTTTTCTTTTTGCCAGTCAAATTTAGCAGTAGGGGGTTGTATACCAACTTCAGTGACACTAATATTAATAAGTTCTGTTAACCCACTACAGAATTTGAGACCACCCTGAGCAACATTGAACCAGCCTGTGAGCCATTATTAATTCATTTTTAAAATTAATTTTAAAATTAACTTTTGCTCATGGTATGAGGTATAGGGATCAATGCTCAGGCTGGTTTGTTTACTATATGGATATCTAGTTATTTAATTGTCGTATGGTTGGAGTTTAGGTCTGCCATCTTAGTGCTAGCTTCTCTTTCTCGTTTGTTCTTTGCTCCCTTCAAACATTTGAGAAAAAAACAATACCAATCTTACATAGACTCTTTCAGAAAATAAAGGACATTTTCCTAACTCATTTTGTGAGGCCAGCATAATCCTGATACCAAAACATTCCAAGAAAAGAAAATTTAGACTAATGTTCCTGTTAGCGTATACATACAAAAATCTTAACAAATTCTAGCAAACCAAACTTGGTAATATATAAGAAGGATGAATACATCCTGACCAAGTAGGGTTTATCCCAGGATTGCAGTGTTGGTTTAACATTCAAAAGTCAGTTGGGCACAGCATCTCACGCCTGTAACCTGGAAGGCCAAGGCAGGAGAAGAGCTTGAAGCCAGGAGTTCAAGACCACCCTAAGAAGCATAGCCAGACCCTGTTTCTACAGAAAAATAGAAAAATTAGGTGGGCCTGGTGGCAAGAGCCTGAAGCAGGACTCTCTTGAACCCAGGAGTTTGAGGTAGCAGTGAACTGTGATGACCCCACTGCACTCTAGCCCAGGCAATAGAATGAGACACTGTCTTAAAAAAAAAAAAGAAAATTTCAAAAATTGATTTATGTAATTCACCACATTAATAGACTGAAGAATAAAAATGCTATGATCATTTCAACACATGCAGAAAAATGATATTAATGATATTCAACACCTATTCATGATTTCAAACAAACCAACCTCCTAACAAAGGAGAGAAAGGAAACTTCCCTAATCTAATAAAAGGGCATCCACATGAAGATAGCATCAACAACATACATAGCAGTGAAAACGACATTCAGTGAAAAACTGAATACCTTTCCACTGAGAAAGGATTTGACTCATACCCCTTGGACATCATACTGCAGGTCCTAATCAGGCAAGAAAAAGAAAGAAATAGCATAACAATTAGAAAGGAAGAAATAAAACTTCTTCATAGCCAGTATAATTGTGTATATAAAAAGTCCTAATGGAAAATCCATAATAAACTACCAGAAGTAATAAGTAAATATAGCAAGGTTGCAGGTTACAAGGGCAATATATAATCATCCCCCAGTATCCGTGGGGGACTGGTTCCAGGACCTTCTCCAATACCAAAATCTATGAATGCCCAAATCCTGGATATAAAATGGTGCAGTATTTACATACAACCTAAACACGTCTTCCCATATAATTTAAATCATCTCTAGATCACTTGAAATACCTAATACAGTGTAAATAGTTGGTATACCATATTGTTTAGGGAATGATGACTCAAAAAAAGTCTGTACATGTTTTAGTACAGACACAGCCCTCCTTTTATTTCTGCCCAATATTTTCTATCTGTGGTTTGTTCAGTCAGCAAATGGGGAACCCACAGAAACAGAGGGCCAACTACATAAATTGTATATTTATATACTAGCAACCATTGAGTCTGAAGTTGGAAAATGACTTTAAAACAGTACCATTCACAGTAGCATCCAAAATTTTGACATACTCAGGGATAAATTTAACAAGAGATGGGCAAGAACTCTACATTGAAAACTATAAAATATTGCAGAGAGAACTTGAGGAAGATTTAAATAATAATGAGAGATACTATATTCGTGGATTGGAAGACTCAATGGTATTCCTTAGATGACGGTATTTCCAAAGTGATTTAATTCCATCCAAATCACAATCCTCGAAGTCTTGTTTGTAGATATCCACAAGCTGTTTCCAAAATGAAATGAAAAAGTAGTACCAAAGTTGGAGGTCTTAAGTGATCTGATTTCAAGATTGCTATAAAGCTGCAGTAAAACACAAGAACCAATGAGCAGATTAGAGTCCAGAAAGATATATAAATATGGTCAAATGATTTTCTGCAAAGGTACCAGAGTAAATCAATGGGAAAAGGAAAGTCTTTCAACAAATAGTGTTGAAACAACTGAGGAAAATAAATGAACCTTGACACCTGCCTCACATACGATTAATTTGAGATGAATAATATACCTAAACATAAAACTATGAAACTTTCAGAAGAAAACAGAACACCTATCTTTGTCCTGGTGGTGGTGGGTTACAGGGCTATATCAAAATTTGTCAAATTAATCGAGATTTATATGCTTCAATGTATGTAAGTTTTTCTTCGAAAACTTTAGTGGGGGCCGGGCATGGTGGCTCACACCTGTAATACTAACACTCTGGGAGGCCAAGGAGAGAGGATGGCTTGAGGTCAGGAGTTTGAGACCAGCCTCAGCAAGAACAAGACCCCCATCTCTACTAAAATAGAAAGAAATTAGCAGGGCAACTAAAAAA